ACTTCCATTTCTGAGTAATTCTATCCTAAAGGCATTTATATAGGGCAGACCAAGATTGGTGTCCATGCTCAGTGGGATGGAGACGGGGGCCATCGTAGCCCAGGGAAAGGTATCAGAGGTGAAGGAGGAGGACAAGGGCACCTACAGAGGATGAAGCCCAAAGTCAGAGTGCAAGAGGCTTAAGGTAGTCACATGACAGGGAGACCCAAGGCGTCAGAGTCCGAACAGGATTAGGAGCCAAAAACTACAGTGCCTCGGAAGTATTGGGTTGCAATCAGGGCATCAGGATGACCTCGTGATTTTATATGCGTGGACAAAGATTTCCACTCTGTTCATGGGCAGGGTCAGGAGGCAGACACATCCCAACAGCAGTGAGCAACTATGGTGCTTAGATCTTGGCTGTGAAATACCAATCTGCCCTAAAACTAATCAAGGCTTCCCAGTAAACTAGCAACAGAAGGGGATGGAAGCCTGAAGTGTCAAAAGGGAAGCAACCAAAAGCTACAGATGATTTTAGACTTGGAGGTAAAAGACTAAATTCTTCTCCCATCAGATTAGGACTAAGGAAAGGGCCATCTATTCTCACTATTTCTAGTAAACACTGTACTGGGGAATTCAGCCAGAAGGAAGGAAGAAGTAAATATTCACAGATGACTTAAGAGGGTCTATGTGGAGACTCCTACTAAAAGGCTGCCAGAAATACTAAGTGAGCCTAGTAAGGTTGCATGAGCGATTGGAACTTGAAATTCCAAAAAAAGTCATTTCAAACAGCATCACAATTGTGAAATATTTAAGGGTAAATTTGACAAAAGACATTCAAGACATCTACACTGACAACTACAAAGCCTGGCTGAAAAAAAATCTGCAGAGGGGCTAAGTGATGGGATCGTGGGTCAGATCCTGGATCAGAAGGTGATGTTACTAAGATGTCAGTTCTCCCCAAAGTCATCCACAACATCAAGGTAGCTGCTATCACAGTTGGCTTTTCCTGTGTAGAAACTGACAAGTTGATTCCAAAATTCATAGAAAAATGACAAATACCTAGAATTTCCATAACCTTGAGGAGAAGAAGAGTAATAATTTTGGATGACTTACGCTACCTGGCCTCAAGACTTATTTTAAAGCTACAGGAATCAAGATAGTGTGATAGCAACACAATGGTAGACAAATTTTAAAAAATGAGACATAATAGAAAAACCCAGAAATAAATGTACACAAAAGTGATAATTGATATTCAACAAATGTGTAATAAATGCTAGGACAATTGAATATTTATATGCCAAACCAAAACAAATAAAAAAGCAAACTGTTCAATCTATAGCTTATACATCAAATAAAAAATTGACTCAAAAATGATCATAGATCCAAATATAAAACCTAAAACTAAAGAAAACAACCCCCCCCCAAAAAAAGAAAATCTTTGAGCTCAAGTTAGGCTACGATTTCTGAGTTACAAAACTAAAAACACATTCCTCAAAAGAAAAAATTGATAAATTGGACTCATCAGAATTAAGAACTGCTCTTTATGAAAGATGTTAAGAACTGAGAATAGAAACCACAGATTAAGGCAAGAATCATGTATATGATAAAGATTTCTGTTCAGAATTTATAAAGAATTTTCAAGTCTCAATCCAAAAGTCCACCAACAGGTAAATACATAAACAAATTGTGAAACATCCATACAATAGAGTATTACACAGTAATAAAAATGAATGAGCCATCAATGCATCAATGTATGTGAATATAATTATGTGATCAGAAAAGAATTGGTGCTATATGATTCTATTTATACACACTTCTATAAAGTGCAAATGCATTTATAGGGACAAAAAGCAGATGACTGGTTAACTCAGAGTGGGGCTGGGAGGAGGAGGGTAACAAAGAGCGTGAGGGAAATGTGGGGAATGCCAGATATGTTCATTATATTTATTACCATGATAGCTTTACGGATGTGTGTGTGTGTGTGTGTGTGTGTGTGAATGTGTGAAAATTCATCAAATCATTCAATTCAAACATGCAGCCAATTATATCACAATAGAGTCAAATAATTTGAAAATAACTTTCACGAAATATTTCAAAACTTCATACAAATGAAAGACAATATAACAAACATCTGTGTAATCACCCACATTTTGACAGAGTTTAATATTTTTCTATAATTCCTTTATTTTATTTTATTTTTGACCGGGAGAGTTAGACAGTGAGAGAGAGACAGAGAAAAAGGTCATCCTTCCGTTGCTTCACCCTCCAAATGGCCGCTACAGCAGGCACGCTGCGCCGATCCGAAGCCAGGAGCCAGGTGCTTCTCCTGGTCTCCCGTGTGGGTGCAGGGCCCAAGCACTTGGGCCATCCTCCACTGCCTTCCCGGGCCACAGCAGAGAGATGGCCTGGAAGAGGAGCAACCAGGACAGAGTCTGGCGCCCCGACTGGCACTAGAACCTAGAATGCCGGTGCCGCAGGTGGAGGACTAGCCTAGTGAGCTGCGGCGCCGGCCAATTCCTTCATTTTTAAAAACCAAAGTCATTAAAGACAGCTGAAGTTTCTACGGCCCCTTCCTAATCCAGTTTCCTTCTGCTCTTGCCCCAGATGCAACCATTATCCTGACTTCAATGATTGTGGATCTCTTTTTGGCTTTACCGTGTAGCTTTGTGAGTTGTTCCCCACAAATAATCCATAGTAAACTTCTGTCTGCATGGTTTCCATATTGGAAATGTTTATATAAATGACAATTTCCTCTTGGAACCTCTTTTGTATGTTTGACGTGGTGTTTCTTGAGACCTATCCAAGTTGCTGCATTTCATTCACTTGGTGGTCCACTTTGTGAGTATATGCTGTGTATTTAAACTGCTCTTGGGTTGTAAACTGTTTCCAATTTTTCACTCTCACCAACAATGTTTCCCTTCACCTTCATAGTTCTTGTCCTGTTTCCTGGGCTTATATGTGGGGACATTTCTAGAGTATATCCTGGGAGCTATTGCCCCATTGCTCTCCAAAGTGGGTTATACGCACACAGAAATTAGCTTTCCTGATGCTCCTATCTTTACCCACACTTGGTTCTGCTGTAGTTTCAAGGGTGAGGTACAGGAATCCTCAGCTCTCCTTGGGAGCGTCTCACCTCCGGTTTCTGCAGGTGCTCCATGCAGAGTCCTCTCTGGAGCCAGAGATCATCCTGGAGGGCGGCCAGCAGCTGAGCCAGGTGCCACAAGAACTTTTCCTGTGTCTTGGAACTCCCCTCAACTGTCCTTTCTCCCCCCGGCCTGGGAAGAACTCCTCGCTCTGCTGTGCTTGTTCATCATCCTGGGATATCTAACGTCATCCTTTTATGAATTTTGGCTTTAAAAAGGGCAAGGAGAGCTGTCAGCTCTTCAGGTGAATATCTTTCAAGCAAAGAAAGAAGAAAGGCCTGTTTTGTGGAATTAGGTGGGGTCGGAGGTGGGGAAGGTAGTTAGGAACCACTCAGAGCAAAATGCAAATTGCCATCTCTGTAACTATCCTCCCCATGCAAATGGTACCATTTCCCCATCATCCAGATCCCAGTCCCCAGGGCATTCACTGATACCTGTTCATGCAGTTCTCACATTCAGTCTTCGTGTGGTCAGTTCTTCATTCAAATGCCTCTCCTAGTCTGGGCACTTACAACTACTCCAGAACATTATCTCATAGTTGGCTTCTGGCCTACGACTCCTTTCTTTCCCAAACTCCCCCAGCACACCCTCAGACTTTGCTGCAAATGAGCTGCAGGGTACTTTTCTGAGCAGAGCCCTTACAGCTTTTCAGTGTCTTGCTTAGAGCTTTGAAAGGAAACGTTCAGACTTCTGACCCTACTAAGCACAGCCCTTGGCATTCTGCTCCTACCAGATCAAATGAGACTCCACACCTTCCCTTCCAACATCATGAACCTCCCACCTCGATTATCCAGCCTCCTTCATCTTCTGAACAGTTCTGTCCCATGTTGGTGGCTTCTCCTCCATGCCAGACACCTCCTTCCTCTCCAGGCTTAGCACCAGACCTTTCTGCTCTGCCCAGCTGGCCTGGCTCCAGGCCAGTACTACCTTTCCCCTTTCCGAAAGCAAGCTGTTTATTGCATGCACGCCAAACATTTGGCAGTGAACCCCAGCTGGCTTTATGACAATTTTGCTTTGCTATTCGACTTCTCACATAAGTTTTTGTGTTACTCTCTCCATTAAGGCTATTGCTCCCCTAACATATGCAGTATAGACATTAGATGCCTCCAGCTGCTCAAACCAAAAATTGAATTGTGTTCAAATAATTTGGGGAAAGGGGACATAACACACCTCTCTCTAGAGGATTTGCATTGCACAGCATTGTATTAAAATAACTGAAAAGTCCTGTACTAATACAACCTTGCTGAGTTATTTTCTGATCGCTAATCACTAAGACTTTTTTTTGTCATGTAACAATAGTAATATTTCCCAGAATTTAGTGCTCCTCAAAGGAGACTCTGGGAAGCACAAAATTCGGCTCTAAATACCTGACCCATCATTTATAAAAACAGCCTACTTTGGTGTCTCACTTGATACTCTGGTACTTAGTAGGTACTCAGAAAATATTTGGGGATTTGCTAAGTCATCATGAATGTTTTAGTCACTTACTGATCCAAATGCTTCAAAGAGTTTCTCTCTATGGTCTTTAGAAGGCAGTAAAACAAATAAATAACCTTACTTCCTGTTCTTATTGAGTGTAGACTCTGAAACTAATGGAATTTCCAAGTCTTCTGTGTGCTTCCGTGTCTGTCTGAGCAAGATAGTCTATACATGTGCACAATGAGAACAGAAGAAGTTCACAGAATTCTTCACATCTAGGATGCCAGACCCAGGATTTGCTTGCTGTCATTGAAATGTCTGTCTTATCATTCTGTTTTACTCAGAAAAATTAGTCAGAGGACAGCTCAGGACCCGTCTGGACTCCCTGAAAAGGAACTGACTCAGAACTTTCAGGCAGATGAATGGAACTTCTAGGGCTAATTTTTCCCTTGACATCTGTGGGTTTGGATGTACTTTTACCAGCATGTTGGAAACAAAAGCTAATGGTTTGTCTCTGAGTCTGAGATAGCAAAAGAAAAATAACTGTAATTAGTCCAATAGCCAACATTGTGGTGGAGATGCTAGCCATTTGAAGCCAAAGTTTGACCTTGACATTCAAAAGTAAAAGGAAATTCTTGGAGAGGGCTGACAGTGAGTGAATGATTTTCTTTTCTTTTCTTTTTTCTTTTTTAGCTAATGGGACTTCTTCCTGAATTGTTTTCATGGATAATACACATATAAATGATATATTGTATCATTGTATTATATTTATTATGCAGTATATAATGTTCTGTTTACATAGAATTATATAAATTGCATTTAAAATTATATATAAGGGGCCGGTGCCGTGGCACACTAGGTTAATCCCGAACCTGCAGCGCCGGCATCCCTTATGGGTGCCGGTTCTAGTCCCAGTTGTTCCTCTTCCAGTCCAGTTCTCTGCAATAGCCTGGGAAAGCAGTAGAAGATGGCCCAAGTACTTGGGATCCTGCACCCGTGTAGGAGACCCAGAAGAAGCTCCTGGCTCCTGGCTTCATATCGGCGCAGCTCTGGCTGTTGTGGCCATTTGCAGGGTGAGCCAACAGAAGGAAGACTTTCTCTCTGTCTCTCTCATTGTCTGTAACTCTACCTGTCAAATAAATAAAAATAAAAATAAAAGTATATATAAAATCCAACTTAAACAAAAGGTATGAAGCAAAAAGTTACTTCCTTCCCATCTCTTTCTCCCAGAAAGCAGTCCCCCAGGGGATCCTTTTTTAAAAATTATTATTATTATTTATGAAAGAGAGAGAGAAAGAGGGGGGGGGGAGAGAAACCGCACTCTACCCACCAGTGCACTCCTCAGATGCTCACGCAGCAGCCTATCGGGACTGGGAGCTGGGAAGTCAGGCCAGGTCCTCCATTTGGGCTGCAGGGACTCAGTCACCCAGGACATAACTGCTGCTCCCCAGGGTACACAGTAGTCGGACACTAGAGCCAGGAGCTGAAGCCAGGGACTGAACCCACATGTTCCAATGTGGGACACAGGCATCCTAACCAGCGGTCCAACCACTAAGCCAAATGCCTGCCCAACAGCCCATTTTCAAAAGACGCCTTTTAAGCCTTCTAGAGATATACTATATATATGAAGGATATATTTGTATAATTGCAAATGTTGTTATATAATTTCTTTTCTTTTTTTTTGACAGGCAGAGTTAGACAGTGAGAGAGAGACTGAGAGAGAGTTATAGACAGTGAGAGAGAGAGAGAGAGAGAGAGAGGGAGAAAGGTCTCCCTTCTGCTGGTTCACTCCCCAAATGGCTGCTATGGCCGATGTGCTGCGCCAATCCAAAACCAGGAGCCAGGTGCTTCCTCCTGGTCTCCTATGCGGCTGCAGGGTCCAAGCACTTGGGCCATCCTCCACTGCCTTCCCGGGCCACAGCAGAGAGCTGGACTGGAAGAGGAGCAACCATGACAGAATCCGGTGCCCCAACTGGGACTAGAACTCGGGGTTCCAGCGCCACAGGCAGAGGATTAGCCAAGTAGCCATGGTGCCAACTTATACAATTTCTGCTTCTTAATCTGGCTTCTTCATTTAGTAGATAGAGAAATGTATCCATTTAAGTACATGTAGAGCTGCTTTTTTCTAACAGCTTCAGTGTACTTCATTGTTTGTACTATATTTCTATATAGATAGTTTATTTCAAATAATTTGTTATTAGAAGTGATGCTATAACATAAACAAGTCTAGTACCTGCTAACACTAACCGATAGAATAAATAAAGGGGAGAGTGATCCAACATGGGAAGTGAGATACTCAGCAGACTCATAGAATGGCAGATGTCCTAAATAGCACTCTGGCCTCAGGATCAGCCCTAAAGCCATTCGGATCTGGCTGAAAAGCCCATGAGAGTATTTCAGGCATGGAAAGCCAAGACACTCTGGCAAAAAGATCTCTGTGAGTGAGATCCCAGTGGAAAGAACAGGTCTTCAAAGAAGGAGGTACCTTTCTCTGAAGGGAGGAGAGAACCTCCACTTTGACTATGACCTTGTCTAAACAAGATAAGAGTCGGAGAACTCAGAGGGCTTCCATAGCCTTGGAAACTCATGACTGGAGCATCAGGGAGATTACTGATGCCATAGACAGGAGTGTCAATTTGTAAAGTCAACAACAGGAGTCACTGTGCACTTACTCCTCATGTAGGATCTCTGTCCTTAATGTGCTGTACATTGAGATTTAATGCTATAACGAGTACTCAAACAATATATTTCACTTTGTGTTTCTATGGGGGTGCAAACTGTTGAAATCTTTACTTAATGCATACTAAACTGATCTTCTGTAAAAAAAAAAAAAAAAAAGAAAGAAAGAAAAAGAAAGAAATTATCAATTCCCAAGTTGACTCTCACTGGGATTAAACATGACAATAGGTCTGATCTGATTTCATCATCATTTAAAAAAATCATCTATTATTTTTCACTTTATGTTTCTGTGTGGGAGCAAACTGTTGAAATCCTTACTTAATGTATACTAAGCTGATCTTCTGTATATTAAGATAATTGAAAATGAATCTTGATGTGAATGGAAGGGGAGAGGGAGTGGGAAAGGGGAGGGTTGTGGGTGGGAGGAACTGTATGGGGGGGGAAGCCATTGTAACACATAAGTCGTACTTTGGAAATTTATATTCATTAAATAAAAGTTAAAAAAAAATTCTTTCCAAATATGCAGTTTTCCTAAATCTATATATTCATTTGAAGTAACATTTTTGTGATGATTCTTAGATGTATTTATGTCTTCACATTTCTGAAACAATTTGTATTTCTAACATTTCTAAATAATTTGAAGTTTTCCAGATCAAAGATTTCTGCTTAATATTTTACATTTAAAATCCTGCTGAAATTACCATTGCTTCTGGAATGGATTCCATGTACTGCTGGTAGAAGAGTGCTATAGGCCATCTTCCTGGAGAACAATTTGATGTGAAAAAAATGTTCATCTGCTAAATAGTAGTTCCATTCCTAGCGGTTTTCCCTGAAGAAAATTCAGAAAAATATTTACGTATATGTATTTTTATGTATTTATGTACAAAGCTGTGCTGCAAAGCTGTATTGTACAAATTATATTCATTTATAAAGTGGAATACCATACAGTCAAAACTGTTCTAAAGAAATTGTTGACCGAGGAAATGTACTTTTATATTAAGTAAAAATACAGTAGACTGCATTTCATGTGTAAAAAAAAAAAAGTGATGCTATAATGAATATTCACACACACATATATATCTATAAACATGTGAGTAAAGCCATGTAATTAATTTTTTAAAAGATTTTATTTATTTATTTGAGAGGTAGAGTTACTGACAGTGAGAGGGGAGACAGAGAGAAAGGTCTTCCTTCCATTGGTTCACTCCCCAGATGGCCACAACAGCCAAAGCTGTGCCAATCCGAAGCCAGGAGGCAGGAGTTTCCTCACAGTCTCCCATGAGGGTGCAGGGGCCCAAGGACTTGGGCCATCTTCTACTCTTTCTCTAGCCATAGCAGGAAGCTGCATTGGAAGAGGGGCAGCTGGGACTAGAACCAGTGCCCATATGGGATGCCATCACCACAGGTGGAGGATTAACCTACTATGCACAGTGCCAGCCTCAATGTAATTAATTTTTAGATTAAGAAATTTCTGGGTCAGGGGAAAAACATATGCATAATTTTTATTTGGATGGGTCTTGCCAATGTGCTGATCTTGTCAATCACATCAATTAAAAAGTTCCACCACCAGGTGGAACCCGGGGTGCCGACACCACAGGTAGAGGATTAGCCTAGGGTGCTGCAGCGCTGGCCAATTTATACTTTTATCTACACAGTATGCTATCTAAATTTCTTCACTTTTTCCAATATTAGAGGTAAAAACTATTTTTAATTTGGATTTTGTACATGGTAAATGAAAGCAAACATTTTTATAGGTAAAATGCTTATAAAATCTCCTTTTCTGCCAACTGCATGTTCTTTGTCCATATTATTGATTCTTGGGAACTCTTTACATATGAGTACTATTTGTATGCTGACATAATTGACTTTGATTGCCAGAGCTAGCTCCTGAAAAAGACTTTAGATCATGATGCTTTCCAAAGTGTCATTCTTCTCAATCTTTATAGACACAGAGACTACTTCAGATAAGAGCACTTTCCTTTCATCTCGACTTTATAAAAATTTTTCCACCAAAGCAAGACCAGACTTCCACATCAGTATGTTCTGTGTCATCTGTCCAAACTCAGTTGGTGGATTCAGTCATTTGAAATAGTGTACTCCTGTGACTTGCTTATGTTCTTGCAGAAGTATGTCGCATATTTGCCATGGATGGTGGGATTTTTTTTTTTTTTAATTTGAGAAGCAGAGTTACAGACAGAGACAGAGAGATGGAGAGAAAGGTCTTCCATCTGCTGGTTCACTCCCCAAATGGCCACAATCGTTCCCTCCTGGCCTAGAAGCCAGGAGCTTCTTCTGGGTCTCCAAGGACTTGAACCACCCTCCACTGCTTTCCCAGGCCATAGCAGAGAGCCGGATCAGAAGAGGAGCAGCCGTGATTTGAACCAGTGCCCATATGGGATGCTGGAACCGCAGGTGGAGGATTAACCTACTGCGCCACAGCACCAGCCCATCAGTGGGATTAATTCAGTGAGCAGCACTACCATTCCCACCAGATCAGAAGTTACGGATTGCCACCCAAGGGCCAAATGCAGCTGCAATGTGTTTGATTTGGCCAGCATGGTGTGTGGAAAAAAAAAAAAAACTGCATTCACTGACCACATGAAAGGCAGTGGGCGATTTTACAGGAATATCTAGCTTTCTGGCTTCCCTGGAAGAATCACAAGGTCTGGCGATGCTGCATTTCCACATGACAATAGTTGGCTGGAACTTGTGCGTATCTGCCCCTTTCAGAAACCACAGATTTCCGCGTTCTTAGCTCCAGCCTGCTTCTTGTTCCTGTCACCTGCCTGGCTCCTGGAGGCGTTCGCTATTGGAACCCCTGCCCTTGGCTTCCAGGTTCCCTCCACGTCCTCCTCAAGGGCTGACTCCGTCATTTCCACGTCTCCACTCCAGCCTGCCTGCCTTTTCTCTTTGAAAACTCCTTCCTGCATCCCACAGGGTGTCTACTCGGGGGTTGCATCATGTCCTTTGGTTTCTCCTTTCGGCTTTCCCCTTAGCCATGCAGCCTGCTCCTTAGGCTGCCTTCCAAAGGAGCATGGAATGAGACGAGTCTGCTCCACAGGGTGTAGAGGCGAGAACACGGCTAGGCAGACCTGAAGGACATTCAGGGGGAAACCAATCAACTCGCCTTCTGCAAGCTTCCCTCAGGACCTGATGCATGCTTTAGCATGAACATGACTTTGAGGACACAGAAGAAGTAGCCAGGGTTTGCTTTCTCGTCTCTCTCCTACCGCTTCTCTCTCTCAGTCCAAATCCATGTCAGCTTCCACCTGAGCCATCACTTTGCTCACGTAACTATTTGCCATGCTGCTGGGCTCGCTTGTACAACACTTGTCTTCCAGATGTAATTTTCTTTTTTTTAAAAAGGTTTATTAAGCCTGGTGCTGTGGCATAGTGGGTTAAGCTGCTACCTGCAGCACTGGCACCCCATGTGTGCTCCAGTTCATGTCC